TTTGAAAAATCAAAGTTGCTACTGCTTTCTAATAGAAGCGGCAACACCGCATTGTCGAAAATATTTTAGTTGGCTAGAGAATGTCCGAATATGCCCTCCATTAAATTTTCAAAGTGATCCGTTGTCTGGTTCACCAGAAACGTCTAATGTGCCATCCACCGTGAATCAGCCTGTATAGTATAAGAGAACCAACGCTATCTATGATTCAAAACTACTTCATATGTAGAATGCAAAAAGTCAGTCTAGATCATAAAACCAGCAGTGCCAAAGAAGTGAAAATGGGGATTCTCCAAGGGACGGTACCAGGTCCAGTTCTGTTCTTGATTAACATAAATAGCATCAGTTCTATCCTTGATAGAAACAGTTATATGCTCTTGTTCTTCAATAGAACGAACACAAGAAATAAAATACTTGGGAATCATGATAGATAAACATGTGAGATGGGATGTCTACGCTAATTACGTAACAAAACGTCTGAGAATGTTATTCAGACATGTTTATGCTTTGAGAGACATTCTAGACAACAAAAACCGCATGATCGTCTATCCCCTCTTGCAGAATTAATGATGACTTATTGGGGTGGCATGTTCAATAATTCCCTAAATCGACTACAGACAACCTGCTCGTTGTACATTGCGTCATTCATAGGCAACATTTGGTTGCGAAAAATTTGAGTGAGCGCCTCTCTCAATCACTGCAATATATCATCAAAGCAGTCAATAAAATCCGAAACAGATCTCTAAATGACAGATTATTTAATCACTTTTTGTGTTGCTAATGATGAAGATTTCAACCGATGGCTATTTACAGAAGTGCGTTGGTTATCAAGAGGTGACGGTCTGACTCGATTTTACAATCTATTTGAATCTGTAATAGATTTCTTGGAAAACAAAGACAAAGAATTGCACGACCACCTCATCACTTCAAAGAATGATATTGCCTACTTGACAGACCTGCATAAATTATTTAATGATGTCAATCTCCAACTTCAAGGTAACGACTTGAATTTGATTAAAACAAAAAATGTCAGTGCTGCTTTTGTAGCCAAATTGCTCTTATACAAGAATAATATCGGCAGACGTGAGTTTCGCAACTTCCCTAGTTTGCCAGCAGTATCCTCCAACAACGATGACTTGCTTGTTTACTGCCAACATTTGGAGAACCTCCACAATGATTTCGCAGAACGATTCCAGGACATTTTAAAATTGTAAATACCGGACTGGGTCCTTTTTCAAATGTCAACACAGCAGAATCACCCCAGCTGGAAGAAGAACTCATAGAACTGATAACGAACGAGGAAATACAATTCAAAAATGGATACCAAGAATTTTGGCTACAAAAGCCAATCCCGCAATTGTACCCTGGATTGTAGTCCATCGTTCAACGATTTTTGATAGCATTCCCATCATCGTATTTGTGTGATTTAGTACTGTGACAACGTTGCTAACTAAAAAGAGAAATCGGTTGCAGATTACCGAACGCGGTGACTTACGGCTGTTTTTGAGTAAATTCGAGCCTGATATTAAGAAACTTGTTAAAAATCATCAAATTCATCCTTCACATTAGATTAGTTTCAAAATTTAAATTGAAATGTTTGTTTCAATAACATGAATAAAAGTTTTCCTAATATTACAAAATGGTGTTTTACATTACCCTCATCAGAAAGTTTTATTTTCACATAACAAACATATAATTTAATTATTAAAATAATGACTACGATTGTGATTCTTAAAATGTAGTGAAGTAAAAAAATTTGGGGGGCGTTAGAAAATAATCAATTCTCGAAGTGGGAGGTAGACAAAATAAGTTTGAGAATGCGATTTCATTACTATGGTATAAGAGAACCAACGTTGTCTCTAATTCAAAACTACTCGACATGTAGAATGCAAAAAGTTAATCTAGATCATAAAACCAGCAGTGCCAAAGAAGTGAAAATTGGAATTCCCCAAGGGACGGTACTAGGTCCAGTTCTGTTCCTGATTCACATAAATAGCATTATTTCTATCCTTGATTTCAAAGTACACATAATTTCCTATGCCGTTGACACATCTATAGTTGTAACTAGAAATTCTTAGGACAAAGTGTACACAGATCATGAAGAGATATTGCAGAATATCCAAGTATGGCTAAACTACAACTTGTTGAGCCTGAACATCTATGAAACCGAATTTACATTTTCAATACTCCAAAGCGACCAGCCTAATGAAGATACACTCCGTATACATGGAGTTGAATGTGAAACAGTAATATGCTCTTGTCCTTTAATAGAACGAACACAAGAAATAAAATACTTGGGAACCATGGTAGATAAACATATAAGATGAGATGACCATGCTAATTATATAACACAACGTCTCAAAATGTTATTCATACAGTTTTATGCTTTGAGGGACATTCTAGACAACAAAAACCGCATGATAGCCTGTCACTCTCTTGCTGAATAAATAATGACTTATTGTATCAAAGGTGCTTGGAAGTTTTTTGCACCAATAAGTGTTCAGCCCATCTTGGCCGGGAGTAGCAGAATTCTTGGAACCCACAAGGACTCTTCGAACGTCATCCGGGGTTATCGGGTTGCGCAGGTCATTGAGCTCAAGCTGTGGAAGTTCTCTGCTGAAAGCTTCGAACTGCGCCGCTAGGGCTGAGTAGCTGCGGGTGTTCATAGATGTCCTTCCAGAATTATTCCACATGATCAGCGGTGGAGGCTCTTGGAATAAGCGACAAGGTTTCTCGCGGAACCTAGGGTTTTCCGCGATACTTCTGGCTCGCCTCACTAGTGACGTCTTTGCAGACACTAGCATTCCTATCCTATCAAGGCAGTGCTGTTTGGTGGTCATCAACACGCCTTGACTCAAAGTGTGACGTCGTAGATTGGCGGCTATTCGCCGCACTGCGGGAGTGAAGGGTCTGTTGGCCACCCTGTAATCCATCACACATTGGATACGAGACGCGTGTTGTCTCGCCGACGTGATCTTAGCCTCCATCTTGTGTACACGCCGTTCAATCTTCCGAACCGCAAGGCCGGGTTTTCGTTCTTCCGATTTGGAAAGCGATTGGACGACGCTGCCAGATGTCAGCCTCTTCTGTTGGAACACTATAAACTTCTGCATCCAAACAAGCCAGTTCTTGTGACTTCAGAAGCCTAATTATATAGAGAGTCCTATGTGTTCTGATTATCTCCATTGGTGGCATGATGCGAGTCTCCTCTCCAGGCATACCAATGGGTGGTGCAACTGTCACTTCCACCACTTCTTTAGCAGGCTGTGAAGGAGCTATATAACTCTGCCGCCTTAGATAGGATACATTATCCCTGAGGTTTGGGGCGGAAAAGACGACATGCTTTGGATGTGTTTCACACCACATGTACCGCTAGGGTTGTTATCGATAGAGAAATCATCGTTATGGGCCCCACCACCTTGCCTCTTTCTTCTTCGTGCGGATCGTTTGTGAGGAAGCCCCTTCCTCCACTACAAGGAATCGAGTTTTGTGTCTACCGGGTGGTTAGCCCTGTAGACCCACGGCCGGCACCGAACAGTGTTCTTCCTCCCGGGTGCGCCTGGACTGGGTGCAACTCACCAAAGGCCTCAGGTGTTAGTGGCCCCCCTGTTTAGTTATTATATTATATTATATACTCATTATATACTTTTTTAACCGAAGTTTGCGCTGGTCAGGTCCTATCCCTCGAAGCCCCGATTCATTCGAAAGGGAGCATCAACCAACGACCACTCCACACGCCGTAAGGTAAGTGATCATTGGGTCCAAAAATCATGTACCCTGAGTAACCGTAGTGAGCCAAGCATGACAGCTTTCTGCATTTGTCCGGCTAAGAATACTGCCTTAGTGTGGCAAGCCGGCATAATTTTGAGAGTCGAGAGTAGAGAAGGCATTCATCCATCAATGACTTCAGTCTCCAGAACAATCATTTTGACTCCGCAGTCTTCGATCTGCGGAGTTCGAAGAAAAAATCTCGATAATTTCATCCGTTTTCCCCCTCTTTTCGGATACGTACGACCGGAGCTGAAAACTTCAAGACAAATATCGTCTTGCTCTGGTGGTCGAGAAGGACTAAACCAATATTGTATTGTTGTAGATCATGCCCGAAAGAAAGTAACGCCAGCCGCCACTGGTAACCATAAACCGAACGTGACGTAGCTGAGAGTGTGGGAATATCCAATATTACCTGCCGCTCGAGAAGGAGCAAGAAACATGCTACCGATGTCGATAGAACTTCGGCAAAATTCTACGATGTTCTATTGCGATATTTAAACGCTGGCTGCAAGCGTATTCAGTCAGTCAAGTACACAGTAAAGTGGACGTAACAGTGCGGTACGCGAAGTGATCTAGTAAGGCGATAGTGAATTCAAATAATAGTTGAAATACTCAGTTGAAGTGTTTGTTGTATTCAAAGTAAAATAAAGACAAGTGTGATTATTCAGTGTAGTCAAGGGTTGCTGAATCCACGAGTAAAAACGTAACAGTATTATACAGATATTCTGTTATTTGTACGCAATAATTATATGTATCGTTGTCAGTTCATCAGGTGAATTTAGAAAAGACCGTTGAGCAATTAACTTTACGAAAAATCAAAATATTTACTTTCTATATGGGGACCTGAAAGTAAAATGTATACTACACTTGAATAAATACATCTAAGAAACCCTTTATTGTGAGATATTAACTAAACAGTTTTACAAAAAGGCAACACGTGTTTTGACAGGCGTGTTCAAGTCCGAGTAAAGACGCATTTCGATAAATGCATAATAAAAACAAGAAAAAACTCACCATCGAGATAGCCTGTTCTTTTGGCGTCCGCATGAACTTGGCTAGCGCTTGAATTTTCTGGGAGAAGAACAGTCTTTGGTCTCTGAGAAGCATATAGGTTTTGCTCCAAATCTTCTTGTGGTCATCTCGAATCCAGATGTGGGAAAATATCACAGGACATTTGCCTTCTTGGATGACCATGTGCTGCAAAAATTCAAGAACCGGAATTATCGAAATCAAACCGGTGTTGAAGAATTATTGCTAGGAAAGTCCCTTCTCTACGCCGAATTGAAAAGCGGTGAAAATGGAGGCTGTGAATGAATCATGCCTGATCGCGTGGATGAAGAGGACGAGCTTGGCATTTGCGTTTTTCAAATAGAAAGGATATATAAATAACGCATGGCCTAAATTGGAAATATATAATCAATAAATATTGGCCAAAAAATGTAAACTTTCACTGCCGAAGATAAATATGTGAAAGCTATTTCCTAAGTTTTTTGGCCATGTCTACATGTTTTTATAACGTTTAGTCTATTACTGCGTTAGATATTATTGAAGGCTATGATCCGCATATTATCTTAGACATTTTTTTATAAGAGAGGTGCCCCTCACTTTTAGGTTTGAAAAATATTATTTCCTATTAAGATTTTCGAGAGAAGTGAAGTGGAAAATGTCATTAGAATACATTAATAGATGTGAAATTACAAATCCTTATTATTTAACTTAAAAAAATTTCATCTCTTATATCTAGTTCCAGTTATTTGACAATATATCCATAGTACCACTATATGGAATTTAGAAAAAGTCAGCTTCTACGTTATCATTTCGAATGTAAATAGTCTCATATTATATAGATAAAATACAATTTTTTACCAAAAGTTCTAAAAACTATACAGGGTTCTGCTCAAAAACTTGGACTTAGGTTCATTTCCAGTTGAATCGGTATAGATTATCAATTTTTTCATCAGTAAAAATGTTGATTTCAATAAACTATACCTTCGTTGAAAATATCAAATTTTTTACATCACAAACAACCCCGTATGGCAACAAGTTCATTGTTATCTATAACATAACGAGAAATTAAGAAAAAAAATACTGAAATATTTTATTTCTTCTTGGAAAATCAGAACCTATTGTAAGTGAATTATGCTTCGGGAAAAATATAATACGAATTGAATAAATTATCCAACAACTTCACTAACTGTTTATTAATAATTTATGTGGCATAGGTCGATGAAAATCAGTAAATAAAAAGCAAACAGGCCAACACGACTCAAAATTTGGCGGAGGACCACTTTCAATGATTTGGCGAAGGGTTACTCTATTTATTTTGGCGAAGGAGCCAGGGGTTATTTGTCGCATAGAAAAATTACCATTATTTTCACCGCACATTGCTAGGTCTGTATTTGTAACTGTATTTGTATTTTGTGTTTGTAACTATTTGCACTGTAACTGTATTTAATATACAGTGTGATCAGTAATATCCGTATTATAGCTTCATTCGCAATTTTATTTTCTGTTTAAAATCTGTTTTTCCGTTACCCAGCTGTCGCACCCCTACGGAAGACAATCCTCAGAAGTCGAAACTTGTGTGAGCTAAGGATTAACGAGGTCTTACCTTTTAACGTGTGATTCCTAACACGGGTTGGACGATAGCAAGTGAAAATCGATCGTTCAGACTAGGGCTTGAACCACCGACCAACACGGCAGTCAATTCGAGTGAGTGAACAAAGCATCCACGTCGAACCGCCTGGCTACCGACACTAGCATCAATTTCTACTATGATCGAAATGAAAAATAACCAAAAAATCACATAATTCGGTTCATTTGCAAAATTTTCATTTTTACCAGAAAAAAAAGCGAAACGGAATTACTTTCCCAAAATATCGAAAAAACTTTTACTCCAGCTGCATAAGATGATTTTGATTTTTGCCCATTCTTCGTGAATTGCACAACTATTGCAAAATAAAAGACGATTTGCATTTGAGCAATGAATGAAATAAATCTTGCCTTGAACATATTGATATCACATGACAGCTGTCAATTTCCCAGCTGTCATCTGTTAACGAAGTGACAGAAGAAACAGCGAGGAGAAACCAGAAAATCGGGAAATGCAGAGCATGTTTGGACTCATCAACATAACATTAAGCTGTCCTAAACTGAGCTCATACACAGAGAGGAACACTGACTCAAGAGGAAGTTCAAAGAAGCTGCATACATGTTGTCCAACGAAGCATTCAGGAACGGGATACGATTGTGTATACTAAAAATCGAAACGTCGTGAACTAACTTGGTTTCGTAATTTTTTTCATTCCTCTCTTTTTCATTTTTACTAATTTTTTATTTCTTTTTACTCCGTGGTCATTATAGCAATGTAGGCTTTCGCAGCTGGTGTCATTGTTTTGATTGGTTTCCGGGTTTTGCGGTGGTCGTTTTTGGTTATAATCTTCAAACGTTTCAACTGCAATTGCGGCAGTCATCTTCAGTGATGTGGTCGTAATACTCCTCTGGCAAAACTTGGAAGAAAATCAAAAAACTCTGCGGCCATTTTCATCTTTAATCCTGATTATTTCATTCGTTTTATTGATTAATATGATTGATATTTTAGCTATTGCTTTTAATTTATTTTATTTGTGGTTGCACAGATTTCGAATCATATATTTGAATCATATTGGACAATGGAACTCCAAATTAGTAAAACGCATAATTGTGACCATGGCTAGTGAAAAAATTCCAGGATCTGTTGAGAGCAAGTGAGTGTTTAAAGGGATTGGTACAATACCCCCCTTAATATTTTTTTTTATTCTTGTTCAGGTCAAATATTCATTTCCCTTTTAGTAACTGATTCGACTAGAAGAGACATTTATTTGGTGCAAAACTTAGCAAATGGTTATTCCAATATTGTTTTGTTTTGATGATAATTTGAAAAATGTTACACCGAGACGTGAGTAATGATATGATCAAGATATAATTACCAGACACCCTGTATATTTAATATCGAGCTCGAAGTATCAAGTATACATGATGTGTCTGTAGAATATAACTCTAATCAAATATTAAACGACATAATTGAACAATAACAACAGTGAAGAAGTCAGTTCTTTTCAATTTGACTCTTTTCACGTCTGTGAGTCATAATTGACAGCCATATTTGACTTAGATAAATGTTCACAAACATAAATCAATATTTGTCCCTCATCGATCGCTTTTCATCTGTCCTGTGTAAGTATTTCCACATCAGAATGTTCATTTATCAAATAAATGTTCGTGTGTGCCATTTTCAGAATTGATGGTCATGTCGACAAAGTGACATATTTCTCATGAACACTCCAATGGATTATGATGTTATGAATATTTACGTTTGTGGATTGGTTAGCTGATGGATGTTTCGGTCAGTGTTTTTGAGTATCTTCATTTATCAAATTTATGTTTATGGAGGAGTTGTCGTCACTGCTTCAAAGTACATCAATTCATTTCGCGCGGTTGGACTCTTTATGTTTATAATGGATTGTGGTATTCTGGTATGTATTCTGGTTTACTTTAGATAAACACTACACCAACTATTGGAATAACGAATGGAGTTATTCATAGCGATGAAAATAGCAGATTTTAATGATCGTACTTGATGTCTTCTTGATGAAAATACTGTAACGGGGATAATTTTTTATGTGGGTTCTGGGTAATAGTAAAGGTTTATCAGGATGATTCAGTTCATTTACCATTGTCGGTAACGACTCCATATACTGGAATTTTACTAATTCCAGTATTACATTCATTTTAATGAACAAAACTATCACTCACCTCCAGGAAAAAAATTTGCTGTGCAATATTCAACAAATAAATCTTATTCCAAAGGGCTGTCAGATTGGTTCGCCAGAATCAAAATTATCAGAATGAGGTTTGAAACAAAATAAATATAGTTTGGAAAAACTAAAAAACAGGCTTTTAAAGATCATCAAACTAAGAAGTTAATTTTTTTTAATGAACTCAAAACAATAATGATCGAAAAATACTGAATAGTATCATTGTGAAAAAAGCATTGGCGCTAGATATACAAAAAATATTGCACAAAGCGCCCACGCTTTTTTCACAATAATACTAAATTGGTGGATGTAGCCGTTACTACGTGGTAGGACATCATAATGAAAAGAGAAATGACAATTTCTATGCTTTTTACCACTTTTATTTGTAACTAACGTTACAGTAACGTTAGTTACAATTAGAAGTGATAAAAAACCTAGAAATTTTCATTTCTCTTTTCACAATAATAATAGTATTTTTCGATCGTTATTGTTTCAAGCTTTTTTTTAAATTATATTCAACTTTTCAGTTCGATGTTCTAAAAAAGCATGTTTAATAGTTTTTTTAACTATATTTATTTTTTACTTTTTAGTTTCATATGTTATAAAAGCGTATTTTTCAGTTTTTTCTTTTTGTTTTCTTTTGAACAACCTATCAAGGAGGTTACATACAGCGCCATCTGCTCTCGAACAGATCAAGCAATAATGTCGATAGTTACGTACTGCGCCATCTGTCCGCGAATAGATCAAGAAATATCAAAGAGGTTACGTACACCGCCATCTGCCCGCGAATAGATCAAGCAATAATGTCAATACAGATCCCAAGCTTGAGAGTTACAAACAAACAAACAGACATACATACAGGTGAAGCTAATATAAAGCATGTAAAAACAAAAAGTCGAACAAAAGAGAAAACAATAAAAACCTTCGTCGCCAATTCTGAATTGTAAACAATTATTTCGCAGACGGTCAACTAGATCCATCTTGTGATAAATAGCACAGGATACCTTCATATGCTACAACATGCTTCCGGATCGTACTAGAGTGTTGATTAATAAATAACACTGTGTTATTCACACCAAGGATACAGGCATTTATAGCATATCAACAGCAAGCGCACAGTTGTCTATGATGCTTAGCAGCAAACCCTACATCTGAGGTTAGTGAACTCCTCTCATATATAGTGGCAATATGTCCCACATGTTGTCTTTCCCTAGCTACCGATGGAAACCTATTACGTACTATTGAGTTACCAAAGGACCCGACCCTAAGTCACAGAGAAGATGGTTGTCGACAAAACAACTTCAACTGTCCTTCTATCGTATGTCATCTATATTTGGTATAACACAATCAATAAACATGAAGAATCAAGAGCTGTTGTGCTTGATATTTCTAAGGCCTTTGACCTTGTGTGGCATGAGAATTTGCTGAACAAACTTTAATTCTATGGCTTGTCGAATCATTTTTATGTATGACTCTGCAGCTTCCTGAAAGAACGTTGCTTGTAAGTGGCCGTCGATGGATATCTCTCGAATACTATTATCATCAACGCTGGTGCTCTCCATCCATATTGTCTCCAAACCTCTTCTTATGGAAAATATCAACGACTTATTTTGTTGGAGAAACAAAGAATTCAATATATTGCTTTCCTGACGACATCACACTTGTCTCGTCATTCCAATGGACTCCAAGAACATCGGAGGTTGCATATGAAAATGAGAATCTAGAGGTGATTTCGAATTGGGGTGACAGTAACCAGGTTCAATTCAATGCCACAAAAACCCAGGCATCGGTTTTCTCCAAGAAGATGAATGTTTCCGGACCGGAGAAAATTATGTCAGGACAGACAATTTCGATTTCTGCTTCGATTACTTTGTTGAGGTTTAAAATGGACACCAATATGACTTGGCACAATCATGTCGCTGGAATTGCAAAGGCTGCTTCTCAAAAGGTTGGAACACTGCAGAACCAGAAAACTGCACAAACCTCAGTTTTGATCCTCAGATCCAGATCTCTGGATACTTTCACGGGAGGTGTTCAAATGACTTGGCACATTCGATTCCACCAAGAGCGGGACATATCACAAATACGCGGCGGAATAATGCTGCTCATCGTTATGAAGTTCAACTCTGTAAACCTTGAACTTCACTGTTCAAGAACTCTTCCATTTGGAGAACTTCGTTTATGTGGAATAAACTTCCTGAGAATGTTTTTCCAGATGAATTTAAAGTACAGCGTTTCAAATCCAACGTGAATCGCTACTTTCGCACTGGCACCGCTTTTAGGGCACCTTAAAGATTTTCCTGTAGTGCTCGTGTTGTGTCCTCAAGAAAAATAGGATTAGCAGCAAGAACTCCTCAGTTTCCCAAATCTAGGAGACTGGGTGATGCATCCAGGAAACGACTTGACGCTCCATCAAGTACTATATATCTGCTTTGCACCAAATTCTCGAGCAGCAAAAGCAAAATCTGCATCAATAGAGGAAACTCTTTCTGAGCAGGTCAACAAAAACTTACGCTCGATGTGTATGAAATAATTTGTTATATTAAAACTAATGCGAGAGGATATGACGAATTGAACTTGAGTTCAATTAAGATTTGCTGTCCTTATACTAATGAATATATAACTAGTTTAATTGGTGTTCGATGAATAGTGGTTTTCCTGCGGGTACTGCCTAAAACGTCTGAACCAGCTGAATATAAAGATTTTCGCGCTATAAGTATGCTCCCTACTCTTTCAAAAACTTTAGGGAGAGCAATCGAAGTTCAACTCAAAGCTCATATCGATAATTACTGTTTACTACCCGAAATCCAATCCGGCTTTCAAAAAGAGTACAGCTACAGCTCTCCCTGACATTGTCGATGACATAATCAGATCGAGGGATGATGGCATGTGTACACTGTTGGTGTTCTTGGACTTCAGCCGTGCATTTGACACTATCAATTATCAACTGAATTTGGCACTACTTAGGCTTATCAGTAGCAGCAATTAAGTTATTTGAGGCATATTTACTTAGACGGAAACAAAAGATGTGTATTGACAATGTCAGTCCAACAACTCTAAACCTTGAATCCGGTGTCCCACAAGGCGCTATATTAGGACCACTTCTGTTTCCTTTATATACCTCAATATTTCTGAAATCTCTTGAGCATCGCACTGCTCACTTCTGTGCCGACGATATACAGATTCATTATCTACAGTTTTTATGCAGTTTTTATATTTTTTCTATATAAACTTGAAACATTCATGCATGGAAGAAAGTGTAATGATACTAAAATTGAGGCAGCATTTTTGAGGTAGTGTGGAAGAACATTTTAGTGGAGGTTTTGTCTCTGAATGGAATGAACTCCGCTCATTTCTCGAGTTCCTCAGCTCATGGTCACAAATATGAACTGTACAGTTTGTGTACAATATAAATGCGATTTTTATTATTAATATTATCGATAATTCCTCCAAACCATATGCGAAAGCGCCCTAGATCTGTTTTTTCTGGTATAGTTGGCGTGCAGATGTTCTCAAGTTGTACATCCGACAACTATGTTATGGCTGCGGTAAAAATATTTCAAATGGTGGTCCTCTGGTACGCCAGATTTGGCTCTCAGCGACTTCTGACTGTTCACAGCTCTCAAAAAAATGCTCAACGGTAAGAAATTTTTCTCGATCGAAGAGGTTATTGCTGAGACTGAGGACTATTTTGAAGATAAAAAACAGATAAAAACGCCTTTTTTTTCTTAGGTCCGGGACTTTTAGCCCATGTATTAGGTTATGGCAATTGCTGTTAGAAAATCTGGAAAAACCTCGGGTAACAGTTATACAAAATGTATGAGCACGATTGGTTAATCATTCATGAACATTTCACTTCCTCATTTAAACTGTAGAAGTTTATAATTCATCTTGATTTTTGTATAATTTTTAAAACAATCAGAATGAATGGGCTCACCATCATTTGTCTACATATTTTGCTCATTTTAATATTATTGGAAATATCCATAATGATTATTGAAGAAATGTCCACATTTTTTATTCCTAGAAGAGTTTCTCTAGAAATTACTGGAAATGGATGGAATTATTGGATTTTTTCACAGGAATTTAGATTTCAGAGAAGAATATGAAAAATGTAATTGAGAAAATGATAATGATATGACTTGGATTTTCTAGATAAACTGTTCTCTCAACCTGCCTGGTCTAATCCAAAATCAGCACTTAACCTCTTTCATCAAACGCACCAGAACCAGAATTGAGAGTAGTTTTTCTTCAATTATAAATTATTGAAAACTCAAGCAATATCATCGTAAACATTTCCATGTAAAGTTAGTGATGAAAGCAACAAAAAATCGAAAGGGACTCCACTACTTATAAAATTACCTCTACCTGTAGGTGGGTTGGAATTGGATTCATATTTTCATCACCGCCAGCTTCGTTTTCGATATTCAGCATACCATAAGGAAAGAATTGCTGGAAAAAAAATCTGAGTGAGAAAAACTTATGTTCATATTACATTTTATGATCGACAATGGAATGTAATAATATATCAAATATTAAGTCGTTTCAAAAGTTTCATGTCATGTGTTTTTGTAGCTCCATATCTGAATATTTGTTCTGCAGTGGTAAATATTGATCGAGAAAGAATTTTGTACTCTATACATTAATACTATTCATTTTTATCCACATTCAATATTTTGCGTCTTTTCAGTGTATTACTGAAACAGAAGTGTAACTAACATCACACACATCAATTTTCACATATTTATCTAAACAACTCAACAAATTTCAGGTGAGGAATGTTGAATTTGAAGAATTCTGATCTGATAACATGTCTAGTCAGAGTAAGTTCAGACCTACAACGTATACGTGAGTTGCCTGTTTTGGAAATTACGTTGAATTCAATTGAACAATTCATTTCTATCAATTAATCCGCTAATGTAGATCTCTCCAAATTATATTTAAATTCGTACTGAAAAAATTGCAACTTTTCTACGTGATGTCAACCTTTTTTTTAGACTGACAAAAGTTTCATCTTCAAATTGTCAATTTTTGAATATCAAACCTTAGGATTATTCTTTGAAATTATCTAAAATTCCAAAGCCTTGTAGCGTGAAGAAACGGAAAACATATTATTCATCAATTTATCCTTCAAAAGTATGCTGACAGTGGCACCCAGGGGCCAAAGTTTGAAACTTTCCTGAACTTCCAGACTACCTTGTCTAGACAATTCAGTTCCCTGCTTGTTGAAAATAGCACGTGGTGGAAAATCAATGCAAACAATTTGCATAAAACACAGATAGATGGCGCTAGCTACTCCAGGAGCATGAGAAATACAGGAAATACTTCTGGAGAGGTATATCAATGACGATTTTTTGAATTTTCATCACTTATACAGACTAGAATTTGAAGTTTATATTGTTTTTAATGTCATGCCTCCGCAATAAAAGAGATTTTGAAGCATATGTAGCCACTACAGAATATTTTCTTGAATATAGGTTCATTCCTGGTGGAGGAAGGTCGTGGCTTTCTACTTCCCTATCTGCATACAAAAAAATGTGTAAATCTTCCGAAGAAAGAAAAAAAAAACAATTGATTTCCAATACTTTCGAAACAACTTCTTTTATATGAACATTGAATTATACAAAAAAAAACATTTTCCTATTTGGTTTGTAACTCCAAACATTCGTTATGGAATTGATTCAGACATCATCAGACATATACACAATATCGTATATTTCACATCGATGGTGACAACGATGTTTCGGAATGGGACACTTGTCTCATTGCCTCTTCAGCACCAACCTGGATAACACTTCAACGATAAAACAAGTGTCTTATTCCGAAACATCGATGTCCACCATTGAGAATGATAGTGTTCCATTGAAGCGAAATTTTAACGCTTTCATTTACGATATTGTGTAGCAATCCAATACAAACTGAATAGGGAAAAATGTTTTTCTTTCGTGTAATTAATTTTTTTATGAAAGTTGGTATTTCGTGTTTTTTTTCCAATTTGTGTCTGAAAGTTACTTCTTTGTATTTCAGGTGAAAATTTATGCTAGTGAATTGTGTGCAGGGAGATTGGAAGAATCCAACCTCATACACGAGTCTCAATTGATTTTTTCTTTATCACCCTCTCTTATTGCTCATGAGTACCATTGTTTATGGGTCAGCGAAATGATAAATGATATAAGCTGCTGAAATTACATACTTCATTACGAGATTTCCACTACACAGTTTCACAAACACGCAACACGTGTTTCAAATTACTTTTTCAGGCGTGTTCAGTACATTATTAGAGAGTCAGTATTGAAAACGCCTGAAAAGTTATTGTACAAGATACACATATTGCGATTTTGTAAACTGTATTGTGGTACATCATGATTAGTTTTCGGATTCTCATTAGATGTCATCTGATTCCATCCCGAAGCTTTAATCAAACTAAAAATTTCGAGTGGAATTATTAAGTATTTAGTAAAACACTTCTCTCAAATCGATCTTTTTGAAAAAATTGATTCGAAATAGGCATATTTAGATACATTAATAGAGTGATTTATTTCCAATGGACATAAACACGCAATGGGTAATGTTCCTCAATTTGAGTTATTAAAGCAAATGCAAGTTTGAACAAAATAAAGTTAAGTTTAATTCATAATTCACTTCAAAAAGTATTCAAATTGATATTTCAAATGTTGGGTTTTAATTCATATATTGGCAACAGCGACTATATCAAGTTGAAATAATTTATACGTACCTAGATATTCTACTTTGAAAAAAGAAAATTATCTTTATAAATCAACAATTGAGGCAAAATATAAATTATAGTTCAATACCACCTCCACAAGCCACGTAAACAACAGTTATTTTATTATTCATTTATATTGAGGAAGATATGTTAGGTGCACAAAATGTCATATGTCACAGAATGTCTCGGACAGCACGCCTCTGAAATATGTCGTCTTTGTTTGTCTCATACAGGTAACAGAATCATTGTCCTTTATTAGCTATAACCGATGTTGCCAAATGGTGAAATAAAAACGAATCCCTTTAAATGTTGAATGCATTATTTCATTCCTCCTTTTTAAGTATTTAAATAATTAAGTAGTGATTCACATTGGAATTCATTTGGAAAAACGTTCTCAGGAAGTTTATTCCACACAAACGCAGTTTTCCAAATGAAATGGTTCTCAAACAGTGGAGTTCGAAGTGTACTGAATTGAACATCAGATGCTTACGGATTTGATCGACTTGTGTTATGTTGGCAAAAGTTAGGTTAGGTTAGGTTAAGTACAAAGTGAGTGGGCCTACTAGACCCTCCACCGCAAAACGCAAGGGTTTATTGTGGTTCACACCTGATCACACTCGACCAAATAAACCCAGCTTCTTATCGAAGCCGATTAGTTTGTATGGTGAGTAGTCTTTCAGGACATGAATTTGCCGTCGCTCTCATTGCCCTGGCCGAAAGCCTTTCAACTGAGCATCTTCCCTCTATCTACCGCTACCAATGTCAAGGGAACCCCTACCCACCCCCCTCACGCATCCCCGACACAGAACGCCGACAATACGGGAGGACGAATTACATAATTACAATCACATATTTACATTTACATTTACATGAACATAAATAACCAATACTCAGTCCTTCTACAATAATAAGAAAAATATAAAATAAAAAACAAAATTAAATATCTGCTCCCTATAACAATATACACTACTAACAATTTAATAATAATTCCTATATATCTTTTCTTTCATCGCATCGCCCAACTTGCCAGGTTTGTGTCACCTTCGCTGTCTACTTAGCCTGACTAAGTTCTCATACTTCATTTCAATTCCTGGCTCCGCTATAAGTCGCAGCAGTCTCCTTTTATTCTATCCTTCGTTACTAACCACATTCTCCGCCCATTCATTCACGAATCTTATCCAATCATCCCTTTTTCCATTCCTTTCCCTTAATGTTACCTCCACTTTTTCCCTTTCCTTTCCTTCCACTCTCACCATCCAGTCCTGTCCCCGACCATGCATCTTTCAATCACATGATCTGCCGTTTCTGGCTCTCCGTACCCACAGGAGCACGGCACTTCCGGTCCCAGGTTGAACCTAGCCAGGTATCCTGGGAAGTTACCGTGCCCTGTCAGCAATTGTACGGCATTCCTTGAAAGATCCAACGGTTCATTCCCAACTGTTTTACAGAACTTGTAAAACAGTCGCCAAGTCGTACCGCTCTCCCATTCCCTTTGCCAGTCGCCCTTGATGCTTTCCTTTACTCTCTTTCGCTCTTCATTCTTACTACCTATCCTTCTCACCTCCCACGTCACGCTCTCTCTGTCCAACCCCTTTGTGGCTTCCTCGTGGGCCTTCCGATTACCCAGGTTATTTATTGAGTGGCCTTTTCTCCATATAATACCGGTCCGTGCTCCCCTTCAACTCCTCTCCTCAATCTTTCTCTGAATCATTGCTACCCTCTTATTCTTTGTTATCCCCCTTTTCATCCCTTCCACAGCCACCCAGCGTCCACTTGCATCTCTGTCATTCTTTCTCCCCCCGCTTCCCCCAGCAATGTCTCTTGCATCCAAGGGGCTACCCTATCACCACCTTCCACTCTATCTTCAATCTTTCTTTTACCCAGTATCTTAGTATCTTGCCCCCGCTTCCACATGTAGTGGGGCAATCCCGGAAATCACGCAGAGCGCAGCCGTTTGCGTTGTCCTGTACGCTCCACTTGAGACGATCAGGAAGGGCCTCTGCGCTGCGCTCAGCTGCCTTTTTACTCTACTGTCATGTACTCTGTATCCCTATACTTGTACCCCGTATAGCATCGCTAGCTTCGCTACCCTTTCATAAATGATTCGCACGCATTCTCTCCTGAGACCAACATTCTTTCCGGTCCGGTCTTTCAGAACAGTGGTAAGAGTACGGCTGTGCCTGTTAGACATCGTAGTTCATCCCTACTGTAGTCCAACAACTGATTGGTATCAAGCTACAAAGGGTGAATAAACGCCTTGGAGTGAGCCAATCTTGGAAGATTCGGTCAGAAGTCCATAAATCTTCTTGCCATCCAGGTGCTTTCAGTGCCCTCCTTTGCAAGGGAGTCAGCAGCCTCATTGCCTTCCAAGCCAGTATAGCCAGGAATCCAGACCATTGAAAATCTGTCTTCCTATCGGAAAGAGTCGTTTTTGGCTATTTGCTACCAATTTAGACGTTGCTCGGTAGTAGCCAAGAGCTTCCAATGCCGCTTGACTGTCTGAGAATATTTTTATTGACTTGTGTATCAGGTTGGATTCTTCCAATCTCTCTGCACACAATCCAATAGCGTGAACTTCCCCTTATAATACAGTCGCATAGGTTCCTAGGCAGGTTGATACCTCTGTGATATCTCTGAAGATGTTTTTGATCCACCTGTGAACCAACAACTATCTACTCTTAATATTTCTTTCTCCCGGAGGATCCAGTCCTATCTATTCAGGAACAGTACTTTAAAAGGCAGTTCATGGTTGACAGTTGGAGACATAAAATCAGAGGTTATTTTCAGAATGCTGTGACTTCCAGTGTTAATCAACAGTCTGTTGCACTCTGCATTAAATTGATTTGTGCAATTGGCAATATGCACAAGTCTATATGCAGTCCATCTAGTCTCCAGAAAAATGTGGAGAGAAGGTAGTTATAGAACGATCTCCATGACCGCTGACGGTGTGGTACCGATGGCACCACAGATGACCAGACAAGACGCCTCCATAAGCCTGGGTCGTTTTCTGTAAAGCCTTCGGCCACCAAGCAATTGCACCATACGTGATCATTGGTCTGACAGTCATCACATAAATCCAATGGATTTGTTTGAAACCTAAACCCCAAGTTTTAACACAAATCTTTCTACATATCCATAGAGACAGTCTGGCTTTGTGTTTTAACTTTTTCCTAGTGAGCGTTCCAGGTGAGTTTTTTTATCAAGGATTGTGCAAAGATGTTTCACCTCCGTTCCGAATGGAATGACCTCACCATTGAGGGAAAGTGGTGTTAGATCGTCCAGTTTTTCTCCTCCTGGTGAAGGAGATTATCACAGTTTTGCTGGGGTTGACAAACATCTGCTCCCTTAGGCATCAACTGTAAACAACGTACATCGTGCTTTGGAGGATATTACAAGCTACCCTTTCCGACGTTGATCTTGCCAGGATGACAAGGTCATCTACATAAGCTTGCAGATCAAATTTTCCTCTGTTGAGGGCATCAAGCAGACTATCCATCAAGAGCAACCACAGAAGGGGAGATAGTACCCCACCTTAAGGACAGCCTCTGGTGACCCTGAACCTAATGGCCTCGCCTTGAGGAGTCATAGTTGCAGTTCTGTTTACCAGCAAGGCATAGATCCAGCCAGTAATGGCCGATTCTATACCTTCCCTAGCCAGAGATGATCCTATAGAATTAGGTAGTGCATTGTAAAATGCTCCTTCAATATCGAGAAATAAAGCAACCGCAAAAGTGAACCGCTTCAAATGACGCTCCTTCCGATCAAATTGAACAATTATTCACTGAGATATTACAGTATAAAGTAGACTCATGAAAACGGACAAAACTTTTGAAACAATTATTTCGTGAACTTGACATAAGGAGAAGTAGAAAATCAATTGACAATATAAAGGTGAACGACCAATCAAAAAAATATACTTACCTGCGGGTGATGAAAAAATTCATATTTTCTAAAGTCTTTCCTGAACCTGAAGTGGAATCGGGCGTGAAAAGAAAATCGCTTCATGTCTTTATAGGCATCTAGGACGTACTCATGATCTTCCAATTGCCTTTCTGAAACCAAAAACAAAGATCAAACTTGGCTTATGTTCAAGTGAAGCGTGTGTGAACGAATGGATCGAACATTTTTCAAATCGAAATTAATATTTATATCCTTTTGAACGTCGTTACGTCAAATCTGTATCTTCCACTCCGTACTCAATATCTATTTCAGAGAAAAACGATGAACAAGAATGAACAAGAAACCTTCTTGGGCCAGTCGATAAATACAATATTTGGAGCTGACTTCCAATATTTGTGTTGACTTCATTTCCTGTTGAATTCGCTTCATTAATTCATTTCATTTGATTTTGACCAATGTATCTGTGGCTTTTTAGTAACGAATAATCAGAATTTTAATTTTTCCATAATGAATATCAAGTTTTTCATTCTTATTCCTAAATTATAACGAATTTGTTATTTTCGTAGCTCCTTATTTATAACCATTATTCAAACATCGGTCTTGAATATGAAAATTACAAAAATATCAAAACTCGAATTTTGTGTTGTAGGATCAAAATCGATTCCCAAGCAATTATTTTTCAAATAACTTATTTTGGTATCATAAACGCAAGGCAAAATATCGAGAATATGTCCTTTTCGCAGGATGTAGGTTCAAGGCTGTCACTCGGGTTTAGAATTGCAAAAAATGCGGCCAATGAAGGTCTAAGTCTGTACCAAAAATCAAATATCTGCTTTCGGAAATGAGTCGACAGTGTCCTCATCTTAAGTGTGTCACTCTACAGTGTGTCCGCAAAGTATGGAATAAATTCGATATTTCCAAAACCAAAGGTCGTTTAAAAAAACCTGAAACACGTCGATTTTTAATTTTATTATTCTACATTCTACAACAAAATTTCATTATACAGAGTGATCCATATTAATGTGATGATGTCATACTTGTATTTGGTGTTGGTTTTAAATAATCCGTAACGAGCTGATTCTGAAAAGGTATGATACTTGGAGTCTAACGGACAGAATTTGAAAGATGTGCACTTAGAAAATAAATTCTATTGATATCTAATGAAAGTAGAAATTAATTAATTATTTAATATTTTTTTCTAATGATT